CCATAATTTTTTCCTTACTGAATCAATAAAGTCACGTAAGACCGTGACTGTCTCTTTAGAACCTTCCTCGGTATACGCCGATGAGATCCATCAAGGGCGAGAATGTGATATATGATGAAGAAATATCGATACTTTTATCTTGATCGTTTGAATTTTATTTAATATGCGCTATATGTACGTATATCCATTATGCTTTATTAAGTCAAGCTTAATGCGTTAAAATTAACCGTACTGCGCGCGTTACTACAATTAGCAGCTCAATAGAAATACAGATCCATTTTATGATTGCTAAACATTAGTTTCATATCCCGCGATTTATATCTACGTTTTAAGAGAATATTGAAAAAGATTGGATCACAATAGAATAAGAGGGTACAATTTCGCATTGAAAGAAAAATTTTTAGTATTCGTAATTATAATTGCATGTTACTATAATTATGATTATTACTGTATTATTATAATATTAGTAATAATAACTATATATGTATAATTCTATCTACAAATATATATAGTTGGCAATTAAAAATGACTGTAATTAATATTACTACATAAATATGATTGAAATTACCATAAAAATTGATTTATTATAATTTATAGTAATTACAACCATTTTTTGTAATGATACTCATTACAGTCATTTTTTGTTGCCAACTATATATATATAGAACTATACATATACTTAATTATTATTACTGACATTGTAATAATAATCATAATAGTAATAATATCATATATATCAGTATAATATCATAATAGTAATCATAATAGTAATAGCAATAATAATCATAATTATAGTAACATGTAATTATAGTTACAAGTACAAAAATTTTTCTCTGTGTTAACATAGTAAAATTTTGAAATAAAATTTAAAATAAAATAATCCAATTTTTGAGGTTCAAATTGGTAACCCTGATCTCATTGTGTGGAGGGTATTAAAAAATATCAAACAGGAAAAAATCGAACTTGACCTTTGCTAAAATCTTTGCTAAAATTCGGTTCAAATTTTATTTCGTTCACGATTGTATCATCGTTCGAAATTGTACCACCTTACTCTATTATTTTATTGTCTCGCATTGCTATCGCAGTCCGTATAATTTCGGATCAACAATACCACATATGTACTATATAGCGTTTTACCAAAGTGTACATAAAGGAATATACATACATAGATAAGCGATAACATCGAAAATTTAAATTGCCTGTTGGTGTCAGCTGGGCATCATTAATATCAGCGGGTAATTTGCAAAACAATCGTGGGATTCGGACTACACATCGTTCGTGATGCTTCCCGTCGACTGAATTCCACTGAATGCAATATACACTTATTCGCGAGCGCCGCGACACGCGCAAACAAAAATTCCCCACAATTGTTTGTCAGAGCAAGGTGGCTCACGCGCGGACACGCTTGTTTATTATCGACATGGATCGATTTACGCGATTCGAACGTACCTACATATCCGTCGATTCGCGCTTCACTCGTTTGTTTGTTCGTTAAAGTGCAGCCGCGCGCGATTTTTGCAGCGTTACACTTTGCGGCACAATGGTACCCAGACGTTGACAAAAACAGAATTTTAAAAAGAGGCACGTTCAAATCCATTTTTTCCAATAATTAACATTGGATTGACATGGCTTTTTAAAAATTCATCTTGACTGTTCCAGTAATAATTTAAATAATTTTCCATGTGTCATCTTTGAAATTTTTTTACTCGAGATAATGTAAATGATGAGAACATCGTTACGTAGCGTGTTTTGTATCTTCATCCGACGACTCTACCGTCAGCCTTCGTTTTCCAATAATGTTCGTTTAGCTATGCTGTACCTGTGACGCGAGATGTACAGCAGCCACCAAACCTTCGTTGCCGGAAACAAGATCGTAAAATGCAAATTGCTCGACGATGCGCCGCGCCAGGCCGGGCGTGATTGGCCTGAGTAAGCCTCGTAACTCACAATCCTCGTGAGAGTCAATACACGAACGCTGCTCAAGATGCGTTTCAGCTATCGTGAATTCGAGAACGAAGTGCGTAAATAATTTTTATTCGCTACCTTGGTTACGATCGCAGGAAAATTGCATTTCGTGGAAGATCTTCCAAGATCTACGGAATTGTATTAGGTTTAGGAGTTATTATCATTTATTAAAAAATAAATAGTGACCTAAAAACCGATTTGCGAATAGTATATGTGATTTAATTAATATACAGAAAGAACGAATTCTTTATTAAAGATAATCGTTACTTAAAAGGAAAAAGTAATTTGAGTAATCACTTTTCTTATAGATAGTAATAGAGAATGATATTTTCCAGTGTTCTACATAATTATTTTGATGGTTCAGCATAATTATTTTTATATTTGTAGCTAGCTAAATTTTTAGATACTTCAGCAAAACCGTCCTTTGCGTTTCATATAAATTATACATGTTTGAATATATGTATTGAGCAAGTAATGATTACAACTTTTATTTTCGTCTATCCTAAATTGTGTATCATTTTTACAATATTATAACTTATTTATTTTAACGTTGCTAAAACTATTTTATCTATTACGTTTATCTATTATGATAATTAGATCTTCGTTGATCACCAATTTGTACGATTATTTTCGAAGGAAAACGATCAGAGCAAATAAAATGTATTGCTAAAAAATCCAAACAATCAATTCAGTGTCAGTTGGTCTCAGTTGTCGGGAAATATATTTGTGATGGATGATGTGCGTTTTCGTATCACGCTTCAAATGTAGAAATGATGCTATATGGTACGATACCGCCGGACCCTTTGTGTCTCGATAGTATCCCCGCTGAAGTGGGCGCAAAGTGGGACAGGAAAAGGAGATGGCGGACGGCTGGTTGTTAGGTAGGTAGGTGGAGAATACAAAAAGCAAAGCGGAACCCATGGTAAGCGAAGCGTTCGATAAAGAACGAAACAAGTCGCGATCCACCCGGAAACTCGTCCCTTTTTGCCAGACGCGAAGGTACTTGAGCGAAATTGAAATAATCGGAAATCGACAGAAGGCTTGTGCCATTGTTTTCTCGGTTATGCTGAGAAGGAATGGAGAGAAAAAGAGAGAGAAAGAGAGAGAAAGAAAGAGATCGAAAAAGCGGAGGAAACCCGACTGACGCAAAAGAGCAATTGTTTGCTTTTTTTTCCCTTTTTTTACTACTTTCATTAAACTGTCCCGCGAAATTGATATCCGTAAGGTGCATAACAAAACAAATTAGTTGTGCCATTCGAATACATGTTTGATTTTATTTAACCACATTGTCTGCTCTCTCTCTCTCTCTCTCTCTCTCTCTCTCTCTCTCTTTCTCTCTCGACAATTGACGCGCATGTAAAGCTCTCTTTGCGGGTCGACGAGATTAAACGCGAGAATTGTTCGCACGCTATTTAAACGTGTATTGTACGTAGCCGCTATATTAGTTACGATACACGATATGGTGGCTAAAATCATTTTATTGTCGATACTTAGCTCACGGATCGATACGTCAATTGTGTGAAACGTTGTAATGCTTATTAGAAAACGACAAATCAACGTTAAGTTGCGTAATGGGAGCATTATCGGATAATAAATTATAGATCGTTACTAAAGCGTTAAATTCGTCGACCGCGAAGAATCTTGCAGTTTCTAACTTCTGAGATAACGCTAATGCCAAATGTAACAGATGCCTTCGATCTTCTTGTTCTGAAAATAAAGATCTGAGTTTCAATCTGAAAATATATATGTGACGCGCAAAATATGTTTGATGTACATTTATCATTCGAATAACATTTATGGAAAAACTATTTTTATTTCAAGCTTCTCGTTCAATTTATCATACCTTGTTCACAATTTGTCATACACTGAAAAAGGTTTTCTTTATTTTGGAAGTTAGAAACCATAAAAGAGAAAATCTCTTTTGCTTTGGAAAGAGATTTTCATATATTGTTTTAATATATGTGTGTTTTAATGTTAAGATAAAAAACATTCCTTGAATTCGGACGTATTTCGAAGTATTAGAGTTATATGTATGATTGATACGTGAATTTGATGATAATTTTCAAAATATGCGTTTCGCAAATGTCACAAATTTCTGAATTATTTTCTAAATTGATTAATTTTATACATGCTCTTGATTCCAAATTTACGTATCAAAAGCTAAAATTCAATGGCAAAAAAATCGGAATTCAAGTGAAAACTTGTAACGTTTGCACGTTCTAAATACCTAACGTGTGTACATATGCATATGTATATACAATATACACGATATGCACGATTTGTATGACCAATATAGCGTTGAAACAACGATCATAATTCACACAAACTCGATATATAAACATAATTGAAACGGGTTGCATTGAAGAAAACCAATTAGGGGAAAATAACGTGCAACCGTCTACATAATTTTTAATCATTTATTAAATATTACTCATAATTCGCTTGTTCGATGCGGGAATATGTATGATTGTCGTATTTTGAATCGAAATCACAATTTCTCAATGAACAAAGTCAGCCATAGAGCTGCAAATTGCACTCTGCAAATCGGATTCTGCATCGAACAATGCATATTTGATTACAGGATCCGCGCGCGCGGCCCCGTGAAATTGCCAAAGTTTCTCACATTTTATTCGACTCAGACGACGCATTTTCTATGATGATTACATCGCTTTTATGCGACCACAATTTGTTCCATTAATACTTCAGTACAATTATCATTACACGTTCGTGAATATTTCGGTGGAAGCTCTCTCTTCCATTATTTTATTGCTGATAAATAATTTTAATCAAGTAGTCAGGTGTTATATTTGGACTCTTTGAATTTAATTAGTCTGACCGATAAATATCAATTTCCTGAAATCTTTTCGTGTTTTATACACCGGCTTTTTTCTTAAAAGAGAGGTGTTTTAAGATTTTCTGCGATAAAAAAATGACCACGCGCGGATCCTGAAGATGGGCGATGTTAGCTGGAAATCTTTTTCGTAAAAAAATTCCGGTTGTTTTAATGTCTGCTTTTTTTTTTTTTAACTCGACAGGGGAACAACGCAACTGCGAGGGTACAGACGAAAAAACCGCCGACGGTGCCGAACGGTAAGTGGGCCGAAACTTTCTTATCACTTTTATCTCCCCGTAACTTTCATCCCTCGAGCTTTCTCCCGAGCCGCTTGATACTAAACGCCTCAAGCTACGACAGGGTTCCATTAGAGCTTAAACATCGTACGTAGGGTGTCATATTACCGCGTCATATTACCGGATCGCATATTAGCGAAAATATCGAAAATCTTTTATGAGAAAACCGTAAATCTGGGCAGATATAATTTGATTAGAATATAAAATTATTTTGCTAACAGTCACTGCTAAATTTAATTATCAGAATTTAATAATTAGACTATTGCTCGGACAAAAGTTATCTTTTCTTTAACGTTAGATTATATTCAGATTATTGATATGAATTATGCTTGCGGGTATTTGATGCGTGAAATTGAAGTTTTAGGGAATGTAGTAGAAACTCACGATAGAAAAATACGACCGTGCTTTTGAAAGCGGTTCGCGAAATGGCCGATCGCGCGTATTGCTCGCAGGGGGGAACAGCGGTCTATCGCATGAAATAATAAAAAAATATAGCTCGTATATCATTTCTATCACACACGATCTATGCTGTACAAACGTCGAGCGTATTTTCCCCGAGAATATTGCGCGGGAAATACATACAGTTTCCGCGTTCGGCAACTTCGTTGATGTAAAGATGCAAAAGTCTTTCCTTATTGCAGAACAAGACGAAGTAAAGCTTTACAGGGCGTTTTAAATTTCGCGATTCTCTTTTGCGCTTCTCTTCTGCTATGCATTCCAATGGGAAATTTGCTCGATGCAGGCGGACAAAAATATTCTACATGGTTACACACATACACACATTTGCACATTTATGTTCTATGTTGTATGTATGTTTCAAGAATATTTGGTTTAGCTATGTGAATCTAAAATTCAAATTCGATATTGGAAAAATGTATGTACATATTTACATAGAAAATCTTGAGAGTAAAGAGAGTAAGTTATTTTCCACAATGTTTCGTGTCACTTCGAATTTATAATGGAATTTTAAGTAAAATTAGCTATGCTTGTAAAATTATAGAGTTTACATTGACTGCTTAATAGAAGTGTCGTGTAAAATATTTTTGTTCGGTTAAATTGGACAAATTTCGTACTGTGCCTACGTCCATTACGAACGCACGACACGTAATGCTAGAGTTTTAAACTAAATCTAACCTCGGTCCGGTCGTACGACCTGATTTAAATTGCGGCTTAATCCGGATTATCTGACGGACCACCAGCTGTGAAGAGAACACGTTGCAAATATGTGGTGGTATTACGTAACCGGCTACTGCTCAAATAGGCTCTTTGCTGATTACACTGTGAAGTCCTTCAGTCTGCCAGATATCTCTAGGTCACAGTTAATGCCCGAAAGCTGTGCAGAATTCTCCATAAACTACGTATATACGGAATATTTGTAAAATTACGGGTTTTACAGAGTTACACAAAATTATTAGTTAACAAAAACAATTGTCAAGTATACTAGATTTCTCTTATGAAACAATTAAAATATGATTGCATTATGGCATTTGTTTATGACAGACTAAAGAGTTTTACATTTAATGCTACCAATTAAAGAATATTGTAACGCAATAAAAGAGAGGTAATACCCGAAAATTAGAAAATACACACACATCGTAAAATATAATAATTAATAATAACAATCACATTGATATTAAGTTTTTAAGGTTTTGTTAGTATAAATAGGTGGCTTAATTTTGTTATCTTCGTCACAACTCTTCGATGTATTACGTATGAATCTTCTTTAAGAGGGTTAACCGAGATTTACGTCGACCTCTATCACGGGTCGAGCAGTACGACTTCGATGTTATAAATAATCGGCACTTAAAACAGTAATAACGATTGAACGTGCATTGCCAAGTGTTTCCTAACGTCAATATAATTCTGGTTAGTAGTTTCTCGAGCCCACAAAGGACGTAGAGTGACGTCGACATTGATCGGCATCTCCAATTATAACCGTAACGTAATTTCGGTCAAACGCGGACAAGGCACTTTCAAACGACAAACTATCTACTTGCAACTTTATTCTTTTTTCATTCATTCCTTTAATTTAATTTTACTTATCTCTAATGAATTTGTACGTGTAATCAGCTTTACAACAGACATTTTATTTAGATTCGTGTTTAAATTTTCCAAATAGATGTCTCAATTATTTAGGATTAAATCTGTCGTTATTTCTTATAATCAAATTAATCTCTTTAATAAATCCGATTAAAAATTTATTTAAAATTAAAATTATGGAAATACTCGCGCCATGTCGGATTATCTGATGTAACGTTAAATTTAAAGTCACTCGTCCGTGTTTGACATCGTAGCTGCAATGCGTTCGCCCCGGTTTAATTGCGATCAAATCAACAGGACTTCGTGTCCAGCGATTGAATTGATTCTCGCCCGTCGAGGCAACGTCCTATTGAGTGACGGCTTGTGTGTGCAAGGTTTAACTCTGTGCCCACGCACGCGACATGCAATTATTGGAATGCTAAGTCTCGCGCCCTCGGGGTGTGCTCATAGAGATGTTAAGATCAATTCGGGCCATTTGGCGCGTAGAGGTGCGCGCGTGGCCACGACGCCTCTAATAACCGATTCGACAACTGTCGATTTTCGATGAAGTGGAATGGCCGAGACACCTCGCACCTCGCGATAGTCCCTCGCGTTCGACAACATCGCAACAACAGTCGGTGTCGCAGTGTTAACAAATCAAAGTGGTATCTTGACATTTTTCGATGTTTGTATCTGACTTTTAATAGATGAAAAGATTACTTCGTTGAAGTTTTTTTCAATTACGAGGTATCGTGATTAAATTCAGAAAGAACCGAAAAGTCACTAAACGTGATGAGGAGCAATGTTAATCGCTGAGAAAGACTGCATGAATCTTTCTTACTCCTCACACTACGTCTAGAAAGTCTGAGACGTGAGATAAATGATAGAGACGAGATTTAAGTTGTATTTCATTAACTTTTAACGCGCGCTTTCAGATGTTAATAACATTAGAAGGGAATTAAAATTTTCTTTTTTTTTACTAGTTTTTTTTAAAACGATCTTAGACGAATATTGCGAATTGCGGGAGCAATTAAATTTTTCGTCGTGCTATTTTCGTTTTTGTACAAGAGAAGTGTACAAAAATTAGTGTAATATATATGATCCCAGACATGTAACTCAATATGAATACATGTAATTTAGTCTATTTTACACGCGGCATAATTTACGTAACATATCATATTAATTGTCCAGGTTTATAATAAGCATTTAAAAATAGCCGACATATTGCGATATTATTACGGTCTACAATTACACAGTTAAATGCGTGTATCGGTCGACTCGAATCGACCTAATTGTAAAAGTGGCACATGTCTAATTATAGAGAAATTTATTTGACGCAAATATATACATAGATGCTGTAATCCGCCTCATTATAGAGCCATTAATCTTTGCTCCGGTACCTTCGAAAATAAATCATTATTTCTGTCTCACTATACTCAAGAAAGTGATCTTGTAATTACAGCGAAAATTATATAAGTACGAAAAATAACTGGAATAGATAAATTTCTAGCAAGTGCACTTATAGCGATATTGGATATGTATTGCATCTAATCATATAGATGACAAAGACAGAATTTAGATTTTGTGCTATAAATTCTATGCGTATGTGATACATAATTTTCTATCAGATACAAAAAAACAGCTATAATTCTAGCTGGAGCAGCAAAATATTTTTTGCGTGTACATGAAAAGGACGGTTCTGCTGTAGTACCTATCTAAAAATTTAGCTAGATACATGTCTGAAAATAATTTTGTTGCATTATCAGAATAATTACGTAGGAATCTGAAGCATAATGAGATGCGCAATGCTGCAAAGAGGTTTCGCAAGTGCAAAACCTCAAATTTATTTCGCTCCCGGCTATGTGGGCTCTTGTTCTCATACTTCAAGCGTAATACGCCACGTGCGTAAATAACGTTGTAAGGAGCCCAGACAAGTTTCGCCGCGCCACCGACCCGGACTTTTCCACTGCTAATATGTATATGTTTTTCTTCCCTTATATATATCTCGGATCGACAGGATTTACAGAAGCAGTGTCATAAAAATTGCATACTTGCCCCCGTTTGTTCCACTTTCTCTTAAGCAACGATGCACGGGTCTTTCAATCCTCTTAACTCGATACCAAATTTATGTGTTCGACAATTTTAATGCCTGTCTGAAATAATTTCTCTCTGCAACTAGATTAATCCCAGCAAAAATTTAATTTCGCGCGACTTTTATTATTTTTCAAAAATGCACTTTATTTCAAATTAATTTTAGTATATATAAAATGCCTGTCTTTCTAATGTGCGCTACATTATGGTTATATTTGAAATTTATATATAACTGAAATGCACCAAATTTATGCGTTTGACAATTTTTATGTCCACCTGATATAATTCAATGTGATCGTGATATTTGCTGGCTAGAATGAAAATTGTACTTTCTTTCACGATAAAAAATAATGAACGACAAAGATAGAATAACACAAAAGCGTTGATTATTTTGTTATATTACGGCTTTGCATTTGCAAAAACTTTTTGCAACATTGCTCATTATGCTTATGAGATTCCTACGTAATTATTTCGATCGTATTTCAACAAAATTATTTTCAAATCTGTGTCTATCTTTTTCGTTTGTTAGACGTAAAAACAAGAATAGAATACGACTTTCACCTCAACCAATTAGAAAATATCGCGATCACGTGACTCTTGGCGCATCTCTGTTATACTATAGAATCTCTATAGTAGTGCTTTGCGTTTTAGATACCATTTTAACGCATCTCACTGCAGAAAGTAACATTTTTGCTTTTCGCAGTAGCATAATCGTAATGGCAACAGAACCTTTTTGATGATACGAGACATTGCGAATATTTAGGATTACGTCTGACATTTTCACCCTGTGCTTTATCTTCGCTCCGCCGCTGTTTGGTAGCAGCTCGCGTTTCACAGCGTTTCCGCTCGCC